TGTATTACCCATCTTCAGTTAGTTTATTACAACAACAGAAAGCAAACAAATGTAGACATCTTCATTATAGCAGACAATTGGGAGATGTTCCAGGGAGAGGCTATCTTCTGAATGAATGTATCTTTAAAATAAAACTTAATTATGAAGAGGGGAAATAAAAGAGTCTGGGCTGGGGGCTAGACAAAAAGAGGTACATCCTGAAAATTACCTTATGGGATGTTGCCCATAAATCTGCATAGACCCAAAAATCACTGCTCAGCTTCCTCTCTACCGAGGAACTCTACAGCAGAACCCGTGGCCTTTCCCTCCTCTAAATTCTGTGTAGGACAAAGGGAAACAAGAGTAAAGTCTATGATGGCACCTCAACACGTCTAAATCATGGGGTCACAGCTATCTCAGCTGAGAAAAAGGTGGAATGCTTGATCTGCCATTCACCTATCCTCACTGACAACAGCATTAAACTTAATGAATGGACATGTGGAAAATTCATAGACTTCCAGAGATGACATGACTAACAGCCCAGATTCTCCATCAGACTACCTAGATTCTAATTACAGCTCCATCCTTACCAGCTGCATCAACTTGGACACAAGACCTAACCCCTACCTCAGCTGTTGATCCTTCATATCTTGTATGATATCCTCAATAAATGATATTCTATTTATTCTTGAAATTCAGAATATTTGAACTCCATAGACTCCACCAAAAGACTCCAAGAATCTATTTTAATCCTCATTGTTGGCAAAGAAAATCCCATTTTGTAAGACTTCCTTTCCCATGCAGAAATGCAATCTGTTGCTGTTTAACATGTGACGGAGTTCCGGCACAGGTGAGCATCTGTTTCCTGTCTTCACTTGGGGATGCAAGCATTACTTCTCTCATTATTATGACCAGAGATCCAACCCAAGGGATCAACCTAAGGGAAGAAGGGCTTACTTGAGCTTACAGTTTAAGAAAGGATACAGTCAGTCATGGCAAGGAAGGCATGGCAGTAGGAGCATAAGGCAACTGATCACATTGTGTCTGCAGTCAGGAAGCAGAGAGCAGACAGGACATGGGGCTAGGTTATAAAACCTCAAGGCTTTCCCTGCACTGGTCCACTTCCAGGGGCACCTATTAAATAAAGATCCTGAAACTTTCCAAAAAAAAAAAAGCACCATCAGCTAGGGGCCAAATGGTCAAGTACATTAACCTACAGGGGATATATCATATTCAAAGCACAATGAAACATAAATGGAAGCTATGGAACTCCCCTTAAGCTTCTTTTTAAACTGAATAGGCCCCCTCTACAATGGGCAGAGGCCAGGAAGCATCTCATGTTAAAATAACAAGCAGTTTTCACAGGTCAATAAAGTTGACTTAAACTGCTGTTATCTTGATCCAAAGAAGTGCTATTACTTAGAGATATGAATGTATAGAAAGGGAGAAAGCGCAGGAAGCAGTTTCTTCCCCTTAGTAAGATTGTGATGAAAACATTTTAATATGCTATTAATCTTCATTCAAAATAACTTCCAGTCTCATTAAGAAGCTGTTTCTGACTCTCCTGAATGAGTGATGGCCAGATACAAGGAAATGGTGAGCATGGGCAAGCATTGTGGGCATGCTAAGGGACAAGCTCAGCCAAGCACCTATATCCTATTGCTATTACTTCCAGAATCATGCAGCTGCTTGGGTGGTTTTCAGCTGAAGACAAAAGGCAGATGACATAGAAAATGACTTCCATGACTCTCTCAGGTGGAAGGGTTAGTAAAAGTTCTAAGAATGGTGAGAACCAAATCACACTACTCTTACCCTTTTCCAAGCAAAAGGAGTGTTTGCATATTCCCATTGGGTAGAAAACACTCTGATTTGGTAATGTAGTTTGCGCCTTTTTGGGGGGGGGTTGCTCAGAAGAGAAGCCTTCTCCCTCTAAAATTAAGCATCTTGGAGAAATAAAATTCTAACAGAGGCTTTGATCCTGGGCAGTCTGAAGCCTGCTTAGAGTTGGAAGGGGAGCCATGGGCAGGTGACAAGGGTGTCAAACTCAGTCACAGTTTCAGAGCCATGAATGGCAGAGGGGTAGAATGGTGATATGTGATAAAGACACTTAAATGGAATTTAACGGTTTGTTCTCTTTTAAATTACTGAACATTAAGTTTAAATGTTTTCATATAAACATTAAATTATATGTATATAGCTGAATCACACATTTGCACTTACCACTCAATTTCATAAGGAAAATGTGGCTTTATTTTCTTGCACTGTTTTATCCTCCCCCAAGCTCGTGCTCCACTGAGAAACACAGGAAAACAAACTTGCCAATTAATACTGTGTCAAATTCTTCCTTTTAAACTGTGTCTTTTGGCCATTTATCCTGTTTAAAGATAGAACTCTATTTGTAGTCTCTCTCTCCTCAAATGGCGTGTGGTGATAGGAAAGAGGGTCTATGACCCACACAGCTTCTCCGTGTTTTTCTCTGTTCCTGTCTAGACCTGTTCCTGTCTTCTGAACACCACTGGTCCCCTCTGGCCTTTTGGAAAACTGCAATTATTTCCTTCTAGATTATTCCCTTCTAGGAGATCTACCTCTCATTACAGATCTGGCCATCCCCAAGATCAAGCCACTGTGATGGCCACACTACCAAGCCAATCTTGTAGGCCCCCCTGAGCTATGGAGGAGGAAAGGGTCTCCAATAACATTGCTTTCCCATTTCCACCATACCCTCCCAGAAAATATTTTCCTGTTACAGCTGTACTCTTTTATCTCACCACAACTGGTTTCCACCAGCTGAAGTTGTTAAATGGCTGTGACCTTCAGCAACACAGCCACCACTATACATCCAAAGTTAATAAACAATGAAGACCCTTGAGTGACCCTGGTTTGTCAGAACCTTCCTGAACCTACCTCTCCTGGTCCGTGAGCAGTGGCTTTGTTTTAATGAAGCATATACAGACTGATGGATGCATTCGGTGAAAACTTTACACCACGAATTAGCATTTTAAGCATCCTGAACCTCCTCCCTTTCTGGTGCATAAAACATCCTGTCAGCCCCTCCCCCATGGAAGAAGCATTCAAAGCTGTGTGTTCTTCAGCTAGGGACTTGAGGATGCTCAGCTCTTGCTCATTTTTGTCAAGCACTGTAAACACGGTTTCCTGTGAATGCCTGTGAAGGCCATGGAGGTCTTGGCCTTCTTTGGTCTTCAGAGTTCCCCACTAAAGAGCTCTCTTTCCTTGGGTAGGACATTCCCTGTGTTCTTGCTCCCAGGGAACTATGCCTTTTGCCAACAAGGTGGCAGATTGGATACTGGGAGAACTGGCTTTGCAATTAAGACACATCTTGAGAAGTTTTTTAAAATTATCATTCCCACCAGACACATATATCAAAAAAATGACACAAGAAATCTGGCAGACAAAAGTCAAAGTCCCATATTTTGCTTCTTAGTTACACACTAATAATTTAAAACACAATGTTCTCAGTATAAACCATCCACATTTCTAGAACCTTCATTTAATTCTAGCACTATTATTATCTAGGTATTATTCTACTCACCATCATTTTATAAATGACAAAAGTGAAACACAGGAAAAGGAAGCAACCTTGCCTACAGTTACAAGGCAAACTGTGCATGAGCAGGGTTTGAGTCTAGACAGTTTGGTGTCTGGGATAGTCACACACAACTACTAGGGTACTGCAGCTAGATGTCAACATACCAAACCTAGGAAGAAAGGAAAACTGCACATAGTCAGGGTTTTTCCAGGTACAAAATGCTTATGTATATAGTTTCTAACTTCATCTAAGATAAAAAGAATAGGAAACAGAAACTGCCACATTCATCTAGCAAAGTGACTAGTTGGTTAGGGGAGCTTTTGTCCATGTTTCTTAAATTGGAAAAAAATGATAGCATTAGAGTAGACCTAGAAGTTAAGAGGACCAGTCTTTGATTCTCCATTAACAAAGAGCTCTTTCTAGCTATTCACACCTGATCACACAATGGAACCATTATTAAAAAGACTTCAGGGAAGAGACCATCAATGTACTTTCTCCCTGTGCAGAAACCAGCCAGAGACAAGCATTTGCTATAAAATTATCTGGATTTAATCACTATCAACATCAGAACCATCGTACATTAAAGTACAAAACTTTTATGTACAATTACACATACAAAAAAAATGTTCTTTGTGAAGAGCAATTTTAAGCAAATCTGACAAACAGCAAGAATCATTCCTATTTGAGGTTTGAAAGGAAAAAATGGAAATTTTCAAGACATCTCCCTCCTCCATCAGGCCCCAGTGACCCACAGAACAACAATTTGCAAAGGCCTGAGGTAGGAAGGCAGGTATTAACAATATGAGGCACTCATTCCTCCCCTCTTATGGAAAGGATGACGTTTTTTAGGAAACGTTTTCCATTATTTATTATACTGATGTTCTATCCATCTGCATCATTAGGTTCAGTAGTTGCCATGACAATATGATGCCTACAGCAATCTAACTTGATAGCCAGATGTCAGAATGTGAAAAAATAGGACCAGCTAAGAAAGTGAGAGAAATATAATTAGTCTGAACCACACAGAAAATGTGCTCAGAACCAGGACCAGGAGGAAAATTGCTGAAATGTCTTTGAAAAGGGAATCACTGAAGGGCAGCAATAATCAAATTCAATGTAAAAACTTTGCTAACAAGAGCCATAAACTGGTCTTTAAGCAAATCTAAGGAAGGAGTCCAAGCTACTCTGGGATGTTGCTTCAAGTCCCTGCGGCATAGCCCAGCAGTGCCATTTTTGTTCTCACCATGGGATTCTCAGGGCCCTCATTTCCCTGAAGTTCTCATGCTTCTACCTCGAGTGCTGATGCTGTGACATCTACTGAGGACATTGTCCCCTGTCTCTCCATCTGATGAGATCATTCCCATCACTCTAAAGCTAAACTGTGTCTGGGGAGATCCTGCCCTTTACCCCCAGGTATCCCTTGTGCAATAATGGTTCACAGCAAGTGCCTGAATGTGATGAGGAGAGTGGACCACTAAGAAGTAGAAAACAACAGAAGAGCTGTGCTCCAGGAGATGAGCCAGGGGTGGGGAGTTGGTCATTCTCATGAACCTGGGACAGATGGTCACCCTCAGCATGGTTGGGTTGGATAGCGACGCTGGGCTAGGCGGTTTGGCCGGTTCAGGCTAGTAGCTGTAGAAAGCTGTAAAAGAAGAGACAGGACACTGGAGAAAAGAACTCCAAGCATGTGTTCACTAGGGGGCTAGTATGTTGAACAAGGACGCCCACTTCAGCTGTAAGTGATTTCCCAACACTGTATTCTAATGGGCTAGCCTTCACCTCTGAAGGATGGTGAAAGGATGTTTGACTTCATAAAGAGCAAAGGCCAATGAATGTATCTGCAGAGTCATCCTAGGTCACTGAGGAACAGAGAATATGGCTCCGGAAATGCCCTCATCCCAAGACAGGAGAAGATACCCACACCAAAACATCATCACTCATATCTCAGGACCAATTACAGGTCAAGAGTGATGCTCAGAGGTATGATATTTCTTGAGCACTCTTTAAGTACTGTATTACATACATATTTGATTTGAGACAGCTACTACTAGCTCCATTTTACTGATGTAGAAACAGAGTCTTTTGAAAGGCTCAATAATTGCCCAGGAACTCATTCAGTGGGTGGGAAAGTGGAACTGTCTACCACCCTCCCTAGTGTATAACCTGGCCTCCTAACTCCTCCCCCATAAAGATGGTTCTTACCTGAGGGACCTGAGATGGATTGTAGAGAGGAACAGCACCTTGCAAGGTGGGTGGAGGAGGCAGAGCACCTGGCTGGGAGTAATACTCAGAAGATACACCCTGTGGTTGCAAACAATAGAGAATCTGATTCGTGGCTCCTTCCACAGGAATCAGTGTGGGCCAACAGAAGGATTATAAAACTCAAGTGGCCACAACCTATGCTAGGATGGCCATGCAGAGACAGGTGCTCTTAGGCCCAAAGGAAGTAGGAAGAAAAAGTCACAATAAATTCTATGGGATCATTAAAGTCACTATCAAACTCTTCAGAAGGCCTCATATACTACAAGAGTACTCCAACCAGGATTCAAGAAATAGAAACATTTTCCTAGCAATAGTCACGAAATCCTTAGCTATATAGACAATTTGTGAAGAATTTATGATAGTCCCAGCCAAGTGCACATGAGTGAACTCTACCTCCCACTAAGACGGGAGAAGAGCCAGGCCCTAGACCCCATCTAAGCTATACAAGCTGAAGTGTGACCCTCCAAAACTGCATACAATAAAGCCCCAGTTTCTCAACATAAAACAGAATCCTTCAAGAAGCACATAGGTACCACACCCAACATGTGTGGTGTCCTCACAGAAGGAGGAGAGTTAACACAGACACATACAGAGAAAAGACCCAATGAAGCCACAGGGGGAAAGCAGCCAACTATACAACAAAGAGAACCCCTCTGAAGAAATCAGATCAGCCAAAATCACCATAGCCATTCACTTCTGTCCCCCAAATTTGTGAGAAATGATGCTGCCATTGTCTAGACTCTCCAGGCCGAGGTACTACGTAAGCAGCTGGAGCAAAGTCATACAGAAGGTGGCTCCATATGCTGTGAAGTCATCCTTTACAGAGATGTCCCTCCCAGCTGCTAGAGACATTCAATCCTCACACACAGGTGACTTCTGTACTCCTAGGACACAAGCCACAGCCTGCTCACCTGTGGCCTCAAGAAACTTCCAACCCCAGCACCTTCAGCTGCTCCACTGCTGTTTGAGGACCCAAGTAGATTGCTTCCACCTAAAAGGCAAGAAGTCAGAGCTGTTTCACATACCCAGAACCAAGGACTCCCCACACCTAAGAGAGTACCCCCAATCTAGGAGCACCAACAGCACTAGAGATGACCCAGAAGATGAGGCTGACAGTACCTATGCCTCTGGAGAAGGTGCTGGCATCCAATGGAGATGGGGACTTGAGTGGAGGTGTTGGTGAGAGGCCCGGGCTAGGATGGTGAGGAGGTGATGTGCTGGCAGACTCCTGCTTGGTGAGAAAGAGGCAGGAAAGATGACATCGTTGCTTAGTCAATTCATGCCAACCTACATGTGTTCTGGAATCTACAGTGGTGATCTCCACATAGGCAACTCCCCACAAACACTGTTTTCTTTTGTGAAGCCTCTGCTAAAAATGCAGATCAGCTTCCTGTTACCGAGCCTCTGAAGTAAAAATCTCCATCTTAATTTTCTAATGTTTCTGCCTACCTTCTCTCTCTCTCTCTCTCTCTCTCTCTCTCTCTCTCTCTCTCTCTTTCTGTCTGTCTGTCTCCTGTATGTGGCTTTTCTTTTAATGAGGTCAAACTATGTAGCCCAAGCTGGCCTAGAATTCACAGCAATCCTCCTGCCTCAGCATCCCAAATGATGTGATTAAAGGCATGAAGCACCATGTCTGGCTTCCAAGGCTGGTCTCACTCTGCCTTTTGCCTTTAAAAACATATTTATTTCCTGTGGTTTTCTTTCTTTAAGGCCAAGGTAGAGTGTGATGTCAGGACTGTGATGTGTTTGGATTTCCTCTGGGGTCCACAGGGAAGGGCTACCAGCCCATCTGTGGAGGTTACCTCTGAGTCAGAGCTGTCTGAGGAGTCTTCATCTCCAGAGGGGGACACACTATTGGAAGGCTTTGATCGAAACCAGCTGAACCAGCCAAACCCAGAGCTCTGAAGGGCAAGGAGAATTGTTAAGGCCAATAAAGTTGTTTCTCTCACCAACTGTGAAAGGGGTCAGCCAGGCATGAGATGGAAATGGGGGGAGGCTCTCTGGACTCTGACCCACTGTTTGAAACAGGGATGAAAGGGAGCACAGAGAAAACAAGTTCTCCACCTTTGCATTCTCTTTCCCATCCTCTGGCTTTCCTCTCTGTGAAGCATCTAGGTGAGATGGTTCATCCGCCTCATCTGAAGATGCCTCTTCATCCTTCCTGGCTGAAATGGTGGAATCCTCAGAAAACCTCTGAGCTCTGGGAGCTGGTGGTACCTGAGATAAAACAAAACAATGGGCTAGACTTGAGAGATCCCTTCCTGCTGGGAAGAGAAGCAGGCTTGCCCAGGAAAACACCTGGTCATGAGTGAGAGGACAAACCACAACCCCCAGTCTCTATCTCCTCCCTAACACTGGGGGTCATTGTCTCCAGAACTGGAAGCTACTGCTGGGGATGAAAAGGTCTGGGAGTACCTCTGAGAGACCCTCAAACCCACAGAATTTAGCAGCTAGTACATCTAACCTTGGAGCTTATTTCCTAACATGCTCTCCCAGGAATAACTGAACACCAGAAGGGAGCCAAACACACCCACACCCCACGTTTCCTACTAACTTTGCCTTGTCGTGGTAAAATATGCATAGCCAATAAATCTCATTTTAACCATATATAACACAGTGGCATTAAGTATATGCACAGTGTTGTCCAGACATCAGCAGTACCCATCCCCAGCATTTCTCATCACCCCATCAGAAACACTACCTTCCTACTCCCCATCCCCATACCCCAGTCACCTTTGACCCATTCCATTCTGTCTCATTGAGTTTGCCTACACTAGGTATCTCACATGAGTGTACTAATGCAACATATTGCTCTTTGTGTTATATTTTCATTTTGTACTCTCAATAGAGCATAATTAATTTTAAAAAAAACTTTGCAAAATACTGCAGCAAAACACAGGAAAGGCTTCATTTTCTATTTGCATGGGTGTAACATCTTCAGTGTACAGATGCTGTTCTAAGTGCTTTCCGTGCCATGACCCACTGAATTCCTACAACAGTACAGTGAGAAATGTGCTGTTATTATCTTCTAGTTTCAAACAGGAGAAAACCAATGTGTTGCAAGGCCTAAGACACACAGCTAGGAAAATACAGAGAAGGGACTCTAACCTGGTTTTCCTCCTAAGAATCTCTTCTGATTCAGTAAGTTAAAACATAAACAGGAGACTGTATTCTAGGGTGGCCATGATCTGTGTTGTATAAGAGTGAAATAAAGGAGGTGTGGGATGAGAAAAATACAAGAGAAAAGGAGGGGAATTGGAAAGGGGAAGGCAGAGAATGAAGGACCTGTTGTTAAGTCCCTTCCCTCGTACACTGCCTGCCCAAACGGAATCTTTCTTCATTAATCCAAGTGTGTCCACACAAGACTCCCTCTACAGTGTCGCTTGTGCCCTCACCACCTGGCTCATTTCCATGTTGCACTCTGATCTCTGCTTAAAGACTTCCTCAGAGACATAGTCCAGATCCATCCTCTCTACCCGTTGCATAGTGTTATTCATCTCTAGATACCCCCATCAGACAGCAGAACATCAGGCTGGCTGCATCTGGTCACTGATGCACATCCAGCCCCACCACAGTGCCTGGCACACTGTAAGAGTCTGTCAGTCACTTGCAAGCGATGATTTTCACACAATGCATCTTGTCATACCATTTCTGAGACTATACTTATAAATGATAGAAAAAAATCTTATACAGTGTTAAATAGCAAGTAGAAAAAATACGCCTCTTTTAACTACTGAAAAGCATGTGTGTATATATACTTATTAATAGACATATATGTGGATACATACACACATACAGAAAAAAACTAATGGAAGAACCAAAATATTTACTGTGAAATTCTGAGTAGTATTTATTTGGTTCCTCATTTTAATTTTTCTATAACAATAGTGTACTACTTTTTCTGCAAAAGAAAAGTAAAGTAATCCATAGCCCTGGGGCTGAGAGATTGCTCAGTGGTTAAGAGCACTGGCTGGCCTCTCATAAGACCTGTGTTTGATTCTCAGTACCCACATGGTGGTTCACAATCATCCATAACTCCAGTTCCAAGAGATCTGGTTCTTTCTTCAGGCCTCTGAGGGTACCAGGCACACACATGGTACACAGACATACATACAGGCAAAACACACATACACATAAAAATAAATAAATCTAAATTTAAAAAATAAAAGATTGGTAGCCCATTACTACTAAGAAAATTACATGATGTAATATTTAGCCAGTGCAAAACTGCAGAACATCTTGTTTGGCATAAAAGTTGAGAGTTGTGCAATCTGTCAGCAACTAGGTAGAAAGTCAGCAACTAAGTAGAGAGAAAAGACACAAGCAGGTACTCTCACCACTACCATAGAGCTGTGACATAAACAAGGTGAATGTTAAAATAAACACCAATAGTGTTCCTCAACATGGAAGAAGAGAGATCCATCCACAAGCCATCTCTACTGCTCTGTCCCTCAAATGACACAGGTTGGAGAACAGGTGAGACTCAGCATAAACAAGAACACAGCCTCCTTTCCAACTCCCAGGATTTCCGATAGAAAGAAACAAGGAATGACTAGCACAGCTAGAAGAAAGAATCCTCAGAGCCAGAAAGGAACCTGTGTGTGGCTGAGAAACTAGGGGCCAACAGCAAAAAAGCAGATGACCGGGGCAGTCACCAGCAGCTCTCCTAGTTGTCTGCTCACCTGAGGACTGGAAACAACTTCTAGACCAGCGGGGTCTTGTAGGGGTTCTTGAGGAGCCATGTTCTCCCCTGAAGCACCAAAGAAAAATAAAGACAGGAGACTCAATGTGTGTTCTTCCACCTATTTGAAGAAAGGAAATGGAGGCCCAGTGGCCTAAGTGGCAAGAGTTTATAGTGCAAGTGCTAAATCTACTTGCTCAGTTCCACTCTTTTCATGCCACCTCATGACACACTGGTCCACCCAGCTCCACCTGCTAAACACAAGGTTGATCCTTAAGTGAGTAAGGAATTACTGTAGCATGGCGCTAGATCCCCTACCTCCCTTCCATGTGGGTCTCCAGCTTAGTCAAGGCTTTCTGTTACAGGACTGAGATCTAATCCTTTGTGGTCTCCAGAACCTCCCTCAGATGATTCAACACTGCCCCCCCCACATGTAGCCTTCTTCTCCCCAAGATCTGGTAGTCCTAAAGAAATGTAGAACCAGACTAGAAATATGGCCCCAGCCACAGGTCCTGTTAATAAGCTCATGGGTAGAGGATGACATCAGAAAGAAGCCCCCTGGGGCTGGAGAGATGACTCGGTGGTTAAGAGCTGCTCTTCCAGAGGACCTGGGTTCAATTCCCAGCACCCACATGGCAGCTCATAAATGTCTGTGACTCCAGTTCCAGGGAATCTGACGTATTCACACCAATGAACATAAAATGAAGTTAAATCAATTATTTAAGAAAGAAAGGAAGGGAGGGAGGAAGGAAGGAAGAAAGAAGCCCCTTGGCAACTGTGCAAGAATGGCATTTTTGTCACTCTGCTTTGCAGCCTCCACATTTCAAACTACATGTCGAGTAAAAGATAGAATAGTGATGTCTCCCCTGAAGCACCAAAGAAAAATAAAGACAGGAGACTCAATTTGTGTTCTTCCACCCATCTTGAAGAAAGCAAACGGGGGCCCAGTGGCCTAAGTCTCTGCTTGTCTCTGCTTGTCCCAGTCAAGAGATATATAGGCTAGCAGAGATCACACTCCTTTGAGCTAACAAGAGCAGGCCAAAGTGCATTCCCCATATGCCATTGTCTGTCCCAAGCCCGCTTCCTCCAGCGGGGACCCGTGCCTCCCTCACTTGCCTCTTTACCACAGAGACTCCGCCCTCCAAGGTCTCCAGTCTAACTGGCAGGTCTTACCAAGGGAAGGATGTATCTGCAGCATCTCCTCCCCATCCCTTCCTCCAGGAGCCCCTGTCACTGCCATGCTGCTGCTGCCGCCACCACTGGTCACTGACAAATGGGTTGCAGGAACCGAGTAAAGAGGCACTGGGGTCCCCATGTGCCCTGAATCTTCTCTCTCTGAGTAGGCATCTCGATGCAGAGGGAAAGGCTGCTGTAGGGTAGGCTGGGTCAGGCCTGTCTGCTCAGGTGTTTGCCACAGGGCTGAGCTGTACCCAAGGTCCCCTAAGTAGCTTTGATAGCCTGAAAGATCCTGGTAGGGAATATCTATGGAAGAAGACAGTAGCAGTTACAGACAAATCACTCTTAAGCATTCCTGCTCTTGTCCTCTCTGGAAGGCAATCACACGAACTGGCTGCTCCATGTGGCTTCCTAATGACAGCTAGCAAAGCATTTGCAAACAGTCACATGTCTCCCTGCTATCTTCAGAGTTATGCCTGCAATTCTTGGATAATCTCTATTTAGCCTTTCTCCTATGGTCTGGGAGGTCAGGAATGACATCCGTTGAACTCTACATCTTTTAATATTTGGATGTTTATACTCTCTACTTTAAGGGGCCTCATTGGACTTTAAAAGCTTACAGTTTTAAAAAAAAATATCAAATGACACTCTAGAAATGATGGTTTTACTTATAAAGACTCAGGGTCTGTTTACCCTGAAAGGAGCCTTGCTGATATGATCGACCAAGGTGTGGGTATGAGAAACGCTTAGCCCAAGGACACAGGGATGTTGTGAGCTGCCAGCCTTCATGTTCCAAGGCTGCAAGCACATCCAGCCAGGCTCTCACAAAGGCAAGAAACAGAAGCCAAAGCCTCCCTACATTCTGCCCATCCGGGAAGGAAGTACAAAAGGCTGGAAGGCAAGAGACAAGGGCCATTGTCTGAGCTTGACCACCAGGGGGATGACTTCTGGAAATGTATGGAGTTAATTTGGAATATAACTTCTGCTGACCAGATACTTAGAGGCATTCTGAGGGAAGACTAATGAGGCTGAGAAAACACTTTGAAACATACATGGCCAATTGATAGCTCAAAACCATCACACTTCCAATGTCTAGAACACTAACATAAAATACTAATAATGTTCCCTCTCTGGCCTCAAGAAATATATCTAGCTGGGAACAAGGTATTCACACAAGTGAAACAATTAGCTAGCAATAAAAAACATGAAGTAGCCAACTATTTGAAAACCTAGGGTGCAAAGCAGGAACCTTCACACTACAGAAATTCAGATGTGTCCAGGTCTGTGAGGCCAGCAAGGGACAATCAAAAAAGGCAGTTTGAATCAACACATCTAATTCCCAGAGAAAGATGACACCAAGGAAAGGGAGTGTGGATGTGGCTAAAAATATTTTAGTTGTATTATGGTAGTCAGATATTTGCATTGAGTACCTGGTGTTCTTCTGGTTCCATAAATGTCTGAATGAATAGAATCAGGATCTCTGTAGTCTCCTGTTTTATTTTGCTGTTTAAAACAAAGTAAAATCCTTTTAAACAGAGGCAGAAGTAGTGGGAAAAGGAAGTTAATAAAAAAGGAATCCCCACTGAAATGTCCAGTGCCCAGAGTCTCTGTTTCTCAGGTCTCTCGGCTCTGCTCAGAGCAGGCCATGATGGCTACAGCCAGTGTCACCATTGTCCCCAGAGTGAGGAGCCAAAGGAAGGAACTAAACCACAGACCTCAGAGTGTGCTACCCAGGGAAGGTGAAAGGGCAGACTAGATTTAAAAATCCACTTTGTCCTGTCTTCAGAGCAGGGTAGAAGAAAGAAATAGAGGAGGCCCAGCTCCAATTACTCTTCTGATTATAGCCAGCGGCTTTTGCAATTGTCAGAACAAAAAGGAAAGGCCCGGAAGTCTTTTAAGCAATTGCCCTACATTACATGAAAGTGACACGGGTCCACTGTGATCCATTGTTCCTAACAGAGATGGGGAAGCTTTGATGGCTGTGAAACATTCTCTGGGACCTCAGAGAAAGGGTGGCAAGAGTGGTTGGGAAGAGCGCCCCCCTGTGGCACTAGGCAAACAGGAAAATGTTTGCAGTGGCACAAAAGCTCCCAACTTACGGGACACTGATCATGCCTCAGAAGTGATGAGAGATGCCCAGGGCGTGGAACTGGGCACTTCTCTGTCCAGTCTATATCTGAGAAACACAGGGCAGCCAGTGACCCTGCTACCACCCTACTCACCTCCAGTGTCTTGTGCTGCCTCCGCAGTTGCACTAGCCAGTCTGGGTCCAGGTCCTTGTCCCCAGGGCGTCTTTCTAAAATCAGGGGATCTGACAGCTTCAGTTTCTCTGCAAGCTGAGCACAGTTTCCAGGAGGGTCAGGGTTAGAAAGTGAGAGAGGACAAGAGAGGGAGATGGGGCACATGGGAAGTCCTTAAGGAGAAAGAGTCCATAGGAAGGAGGGGAAAGGAGCTGTCTGTCATTCACGAATGCATCGTGTTATAAAGAATAATTGAGAAATAACAAATTCAACCGATCTCCTCCCAAAATTGCAGCATAAATAAATAAGCAACCCATTTTGGCATTATTTCCCCCAAGTATGAGGAGGAAAATAGCTCCACAGCTTTGTGGTTCTGCAAAGCTGTCTTCTCTGCAAGAAGCTTCTCGAATAGGAATGCAGAGAAACACGGGAACCTCATTCATGCTGATCCTGATTCTGTCTGGGTGGGGGCTCAGATTTACACTGCTAACTACCTGATGCTGCTTTCTGATTCTAGGTGTCATTGTGTTCTGTATCTGGAATTTCTAATCACCAAGCCTGGCCCATCAACCCTCTAACAGAAACGTTAGAGTCTGGGGAGTGGTGTGGGGAGGGGGGCATACTCTGCAGCACAGATTTTACTGGTTACAGAATCCAACACTTGGGCTTCCTGTAAAGCAACATACAAACTGAAGCTCACACTGCCTTTTACTCTCTGGCTAATGGGTTTTTTTCTTCAGTTAATTGGAACAACTATTTGCCTGATTGTTGTTTTCTTCCCAAGGAACTAAGGGTTGGTATGTTTTTGTTTTCTTTTTTAAATGTGTCCCACACGTGATAAAATATTCTATGCATTTAAAGGTATTTTAATAAGGATCATTTCCTATTTTAATCACTAAAATCTATTTTCAAAGGCCCGCTTTTGTAATTAGAACAGCTCACCACAGCTTGCAGTTTAACTGTACCAGGAAAACAGACTCATGGAACTTCTCAAGCAAAACGCCTGCTTTCCAGGCCCCCAACCCCACTGCCCCTGCCCAGTCGGTTGTTCTTTGTGTAGGCAGGCCTCTGCTTATCACACCGGGGCATGCATACATGGTCAAAGACAGCTGTGAGCTCCAATTTTGCAGCATGTTCAAAGAAGATGAAATATAGAGTCTAAGCCTCTCTACAATGGCTTTTCTGAACACTGAAGATAAAACACCTACAGAGACCCCTTTGAGACGCTCACCTTGATGAGCTCCGCTAATAGGACAGGGTGACTGCTTCCTCCCTGGCTCAGGACAGCTTCACCAATGGCTTCACAGTAATGCAAGGCCTGGGATGCCAAGCCATAATCTGCCAGACGGGAAGCATAAAGGAGCTTATACACCTGTGAAGAGGAATGGGGCCAGTGATGGGTCCATCCAGGCAGGAGAGAGTGAGAGGAATGTAGATAAGACTTCTTGGAAGTCAGCTGACTGCCAGCTTCCACTCACTCTAGCATCCAAATAGCAAGGGCCCTGTGCCATTTGGGGCAATTTATCTGTGTATGGGCACAACTCCAAATCCATCCTACATACTGCTCCTGCATTATGGAGCAAAGGATGAGGGTAGGGGGTCACATCAACTCATCTTCTCAGGCTCCATTGGAAAGGCAACCAGTTTATCTCATAGTCCACATCACAGAGGGATCCTGGGCATGTGAAGTGCAGCCCCAGGCACAAAGGCCCACATGAAGATACAAAAGTAGACCCTTTGCAAAGGGTGTGAAGTCCAGAGGAAAGTACAGACAAATGCAGGAGTGGGAGGGGGCTTTCATAGAAGGAGCTATAGGATGAGATGAAGTGTGGTGGCTCTGGTGTAAACAAAACCAATCCAAGCTCACACAAGGTGTGGAATGTTTGGGCTACTTCCTTTGCCTCTCCATGCCTTAGTTTCCCCATTATAGCAATGTAACTATTCCATTGGAAGCTCTAAAGATAAAATGAGATGATTCACACAGAATACTCAGAACAAATGGTGTGCACGAATGAGTTGGGAACATATAACCACACCCTCTGAGCCTCGGTCACCTCTTTTGAAAAAAGGGAAACCCCATGGAATTACAATATTCAAGAAGCATAGTAGTACAATGCTAAGTATGTGAGAGTCAATAAAAATGGCTGTGCTATGACTATCCACCAGAACAGTGCCAGCATAGCATGTGGGTGGGATGAATAAAGAAGGAAAAGAAAAGAAACCAAAGCACCTATGCAGGAGCTATATAGAAGAGCAGTTAGTCAAGGAAGAACTCTCAAAGAAGAGAGATTAAATGGATTATTTATTTATAATACAGTGATTCATTCCCAAGGTTGTATTGTTTTGTGTTGTTATTATAGCTGTGTACATTCTCAACACCAGGCACTGAAGAACATCTGGTCATAAGAAAAGGTCTCAGGTGCTGGGAGATATTGATTACACTGTGTAAAGATGTGTCACTGTGATTGGTTTAATACAAAGTTAAATGGCCAATAGCCAGGCAGGGAGAATGAATAGGTGGGACTTCCAGACAAAGGGAGGAACTGGGGATGAATCTAGGCACTGATAGGACATGCAGAATAAGCCAGATGTAAGAAGGAAAGGTAAAAAGTCATAAAGTAGGATGTAGATTTGAAAATATGGATTAATTTATGATCTGTGAGCCAGCTGGGAACAAGCCTAAGCTATAGCCCGAGCTTTCATGATTAATAAAGTGTCTACATGTCACATTTGGTAGCTAGCTGGTGGAAAGAGAAAGACTCATTAAATATGGTGCCCAAAATGGAACATGTATTTCTACATAGGACCTGCAAAAGCTTTAAAAAAAAGTTTCAAACCCACAAACATGGAGCCAGACATGGCTTCCTAGTCCCACAGTCTCTCAGGTAGGCCACGGCACACAGAGACATGGCTGCCAGCTGCTGCCTGCAGGCTGGAACCAGCCACCAGTGCCATGTGCTAAGCTGAGTCTGTGTAGTAGCTGACATAGAAGTTTAAGATTTATCTCACATGGTCAGAGAATGCTGCAGGCACTTAGTAAAGCCAGGTCTAGACACAGAAAACTTCTAAAAAGATACAGTATGTTTAAAAATGTGCTTAGTGCTAAAGAAAGAAATTAAAATGGGCACAGACAATCATTTAAAAAATAAACAGATTAAAAATAATAAAGTCTTTAAAGAAAAATAAAATAATATAAAAAGAATAAGCCATGTAAAGATGGGAAATACACAGTGAGTCTGGACCCTATATGGTGCTTTATTGACTTTTAATTTTGAAATGCTAATGTACAAAACCAATAGTTGCTGAGAGACATTGTGGAAATCGCTAAATTAAACCAACCTATATATTTTAAGAATGTCTTAACTTCAAAATGGAAGTCATAACTATATTGCATTGCAGGAGAGATTGTGTCTTTATTTTCACAGGAAACAAAAAGTTATGGTTCTCTTCAAAATTAATGAAGATCACACTTGATTGGGGGAGACCTCCTGAAAATCTTGGCTACAGACATAAAAAAAAAGAAACCAAGAAAGGCTACAGGACAGGTGACTTATATTCTGGTCCCTCTACTATGCAATGCTATGAAACTAGATGAGACGTGATAAATCTTGTTGGCTATAGAGACCTCATGACTTATTATTACATACCATCCTTTCATATGGCGTGGATAGAGGTTTGGTTATACAGTCCAAACAAACCTATAAAGTTGACAGATGTGTTTTACCTGCTCAAACATAAAATAAAAGACTATCTTTGGCTGGCTTGTGTACAATGCAAAATCCATACTTGTGTTAATGCAGATATGTATGTTACCTTTGAAATTTTATGTTTTTTCAGAGCAGTGGGACCAGATACTGATGAAAATAGTTGGACCATGTGATCTGGCCTCTCAGAATGCCTCTGTTGCAGTCTCCTCAGAGTTCTGAGTTCAGATCAAGTTCAAGACTACTAGCTGAGATGGTCCAGGCTTAAAGACTATTCTAGCCAGGACTTCAAAGAAGCCTTGCATTTTCCCATTACATAGAGACCAAATGACAAATGTTATAGTTTTCTTAGGACTTAGCCATTATCTTGGATTTCTCAGGGTCCCCTGGGGATGCTGTCAACCCCAGACAACAGAAAATAGTCTAGAAAACATAATGCCCATGTTCCCAAGAGGTGGGGTGAGTGGTTTGGGATCATTCAATGGGTTATGAGTGTTTGTCATTGTTTGGGGGGTTGGTTACAAGTTGTTATTGGTCATGGTCTGGAAAAAAAGCTGAACAAAGGAGATTAGATTCAGAGATCTCTTTCTGATGGAAAAAGGGGGATATAGTACAGAAATGATAGGATAAAAGGATGGATTGTTGAGTCTACTTTTGAACAACAACCACTAGTCTCAAATATTTCACATTGGTATGGATTTTTGTATACTGATACAAATTTAATGTTATTTTTGTTTTACTGTATATATGTTTCTACTCTTGTTTAAAGTATTGTACCTACGCAGCTCAATCAAAAATGTAATATAAAGTTTTAGTCCTTGAAAGCTATTTAGTATAATAAAGAAAGACAAGTTAGTAGTTAGTCATCTATAACAATTAAACTTATAGTTATGCTAAGTATGTTTTCAGGGTCAAACAGAGATATTTTTAATAGGCCTACAGGATAAGGCATTTAAATGTTTTAATAATAACATAAAGCTTTTTATGATAGTGAGACATATCTGCTCCTGTCAGCACCAATTTACTTCAAAAAAAGAGTGATGGGTATTGAAGAACCTCCATATGAAGTTTGATTTCATTGTGTGTGGCGAAACTGGCCATTTGGGCAAGAAACTGCCCTTGCCTCAACTACTGACAGTATACTATACAAACTGGACAAGCAGTACACAAAACAAAAAGACTGCTTAACTTTGACAAGACAAGGTGAAACTGTCTTTCAAAATTCCTACTTCACAGAAAGTCTGTCAGATGATGGATGCCCCAACATTGCAGAGAAACCTTGGATGACTGTCCAAGCAGTCAGATGCTTCTGTCATTTCTACAGTTTTGGAAGTTGTTTGTTCTATACTTCTTGTTTATTCAAGTAATATTATATCCTTCTTGGATCTCTGATGGAGTTGAAGACAAGATAGTTATAGTTTTCCTTGTTTCCAAATTCATTTTTAAAAAAATCTTACATAAGAGATGTAAAGTTTATAAGGTGGAAAACATAAAAGCTTAAATTGTTTATCTAAGAAAATGTTTTAAGCTCTAAAGATAGTTTTGGGCTGGTAATACAGGTTATAATAAAAAGTGGTTTAGGTATAAAACTTTGCACTCATCAAAAGATTAGAATATTTTCTCCAAAATTGTTAAATACAAATGGACTGGACATTGTAAATGTAATTCTTACCTAATAATTGTTCTTATTGTATATAGTTTCACTATATTACAGTTAAAACATTTCCTTTTTGCTTAGACTAAGGGGGAAATGTTGCAAGATTTTTGATTACACTGTGTAAAGATGTGCTACTGTGATTGGCTTAATAAAAAGGTAAATGTCCAATAGCTAGGCAGGGACAATAGGTGGGACTTCGGGCAAAGAGAGGAACTGGGGATGAATCTAGGTGCTCAGAGGAGATGTCAGGAGATGCAGAACAAATCAGAGGTAAAGAGTGAAAGAAAGGTAAAAAGCCATACGGTAGAATGCAGATTTTAAAATATGGGTTAACTTAATATATAAGAGCTAATTGAGAACAACCATAAGATAGATCAATATATATATATATATATATATATATATATATATATATATATATATATATTGTGTGTGTGTGTTTTCATAATTAATAAGATAGCTCCACGGCATTATTTGGGAGTTGGCTGATGGCACAGAGAAAGACATTACACTCAGGCCTGAAGAGGATACTCAAGGTGGAGAAGAAATGTACCTGCCCATAAATAGGAAAGAAATCACAGAGCAGTACCAAGTAAATGTGAGATGGGGGCCTTGGAGCCAATGCTGTGCCTGGAATAGGCCTGTTCCAAGTGCCAAAACAAACTGTTTTAGGCCAGTTTGCAACACAGGCTCCACTGAAGTTCACACTCCATGCCAGCAAGAGAGATGAGAAAAGGCTGCTAGGTACCAGGTCTCAAACACATGAGGGATTAGGCTGGGTGTGGACACAATGCCTCATCGGTCACTATGGACATAAGAAAGAAATGAGATGCCAAACACAGGCTAAGACAAGAGAGTAGAACTCTGGAGTGTGCGTGCTGCTTGCTCGGCTTATGCCCTGAAAGGGGCAGGAGGGAGACTCCAGATAAAAGAGGTGTAGCAAGAAGGAGGGGAGAAGCTGAGCAGCCACTGGAACAGGATGACTGTGGGAGCTGAGGAGGACATGAGGGGAACTGCTGGGAGAGGAGAACCCACGGCAGCTGAAGCCAAGAAAGGAGGGGCAGAGCTGCGGTAAGCTTTCCATGTGTGAGGCAAGACCTCCAAAGGGCTTTGTTTTCATATTGTAAAACACCGATCTTCCAGGGACATGGGGTAAAAAATCCCACACTAACGGGGAAAAAAATGCAGGAGATGACTTGGCCCGAGGTCCCAGGTGCCGAAGAGCAAAGCTGAAAACCTAGCTGCCCGCAACTAAGCTGAAGATCCCCTCCGGGTTCAGTTACCTGAAAAGAAGGGATGAAGGATTTGGGGCGGCCCAACATCTGGCAGTACTCGAAGATTTCTGTCCTCTGGATAGCTTCGATTGTTGCAAACTTCAAAAACTCTTGACTAAAACCAGGGAATAACAGTAACAGAGGTGAGGTGGGGATGCTGCTCTCAAGCAGCTCCAAGACAGGAAAGAGACGGGGGTCCCAAGGTGCATACGTTTCCTCCTTGCCCTCTGTCCTCTTGGACTTGGGGAACAAATGAAATGAGCATGTTCTAAACGAGCCCACTGTGAGAAGGAAGCTCCTCTATGCCTTCCTTAACAAAAGGCTGAACACTGCGATTCTCTCACTTCAACATCCTGAAAGCTAGCCTTCAGCCCCTAGGGCCCGGCACACCCCAGGAAAGGCAGATCAGCCCAAGCACACCAGCGCAAAGAGAAAACCACAGAGTTCCGAACACCACAGATGGCCTGGCAGAGAATGGGGAGGACAACTGAGCCAGAAAGAAATGACAGATTTTACACAGGAAGCTCATTCGGCCCATGATGGTGAAAACTAGGGTGAATGTGATCTGAGGGGAAACGAGAGTCCCTCATACACATACCCTCCCAGGCTCCCTTCCACAGCTTGCCAGGTGCCCAAAACTGCAGTCACCCAGAGTATTTCTATAAGCTAACTTATTTCCAGAAACTTCCCCAGGATTCATAGACATAGAAGAGGAGACATATTAACACAGGCACCTTTATGGTTATATTTGGCCCAGACAGGTTTCTTTGAGAAGCTGACTATGCTGTCTTCTGAGCCCAGGCTCTCCAAAGAAGGAAGGGTCTATGAGGTGGCCATATTGCTACAGTGGTAGAAGGCTGGGGACACAGATTATAAATTAACTCCTGCAGCCCATCTAAACTCCAAGTTCAACCTCATGCTGCACCAAAAATGCCACCTTAGATGAAGCCTTTGACCTCTCTGTACCTTGCTTTCCCTGCTACATTTACATTTATTTATTTATTTATTTATTTATTTATTATAAGGTAAATCTCTAACAAATGAAGTAGTGCAAAGGAGCTCGTGGTAGCACAGCTCAGAAACTTCTTTTTCTTTTTCAGATAGGTCAGTAGCCCTGGCTGCCTGGCTAGCCTAGAACTCACTGTGTAGCCCAGGTTGGCACTAATCTTGCTCCAATCCTCCTGTCTATGCCTCTTGACTGCAGGAATTCGAGGAGCATAATACCATGGCTGCTCAGAAATCCTAACTATTAAGAAGAAGAGGGTAGAAAGATTCAAAACAGTGAAGGCCACCCAGGGTGAGCTTATCTGTTTCAGCTCACTCCTTCTCCAGGTCTCTCCGGTTCTTTCAACATAAAAATCTCATAAAGCAAGTGACCAATGGGACAGCTTGTGCCACACATTAATGTATTGAAATAGCATGGAGACCCCCAAAGAATAGGCTCTCAGAACAGGCCCAGGGCTGCCCAAAGGAGACCATTTGTAAATTTCTTCTTTTCATTTTTCTTTCTATATAATCTCTTGCTGTGGAGCTAGGCTGCCACCCAGTGGCCAGAGGGATACAATACACATCAAAGGCACCAGTTCAGGCCCTCTGGTGGTGTGATGTGGTGTCCTCTGGTCACCTTGCCTAGACCCATGCTAAAGATACAGAGGAGGAGCCAGCAGTAGCTGAAATTTACACAAGAAAATGAACAATGAAACCATGAAAGCCAGTAAGGGCTAAAACAATGCACAGAAAACATCTATGCCATTTCCTTTCATGCAAAAGGCACACACCTGTGGTTACTGCCCAGCAAGGCCAGATGGTCTGTCTTCACCGTGTAGTGGCCAAAGGGCACATGAGCCATGAGATAGCAGAAGTGAGCTGCCTCCACAAGCCCTTTCCCAGCTGCAGGGAGAGAACAAGAACCCAGTCACAAAATGCACCCTATGGAGCCCACTGTCTGAGTAGAACAGAGAGAAATAGAGTTGAACTGCAGGGTCAGAGGGCAGAGACCTCATGAGAATAAACCAGGGAGTCCTCACGGCATAAGTCACAGACACTCCCATCTCACTCCCTCCCACATCAGTTTCTCTGACCAAAGATATTGCATTTCAGCTCTCATCACTCACATCACATCGGGTGCTATTTCATATTCCCCTGATGGGTTTTTCTTCGGGAATTTTCTAAAAGTCATGATCCTTCCTGAGGCTGAGAAGTGAGAAGAAATGCCTATACCTAAGTAAAGTGGAACATCAGAAATGGATTTAAAACATTCTTCCTCTGTTGAAGTCAGACAGTCGAGGGCTTTTCCTGTGCTCATAAAAATTACATCAATTACCAAATTGTTCCTGAATTATTTTAGTGTTCTCTGTACACTGCCTTAAAAATGGACTATGTGGGTATGACAGGTAATCTTCATGGTCAACTTCAATAGAATTGGAATAACTAAAGGGATACGCTCCCTTGTTGTACCCTTGAGTATTTGGGGGGGGGGGGTAACTGAGTAGGGAAGGCCTACTGAGAGTGTGGGAGGAACTATCCTGTAGGCTAGGATCTAGGGCTAAATAAAGATAGGGAAGAAGGAAGCAAGCTGATTCCCCGTCACTCATCTCCTGACAGGCCTCCAGTCACAGCACACTCCTGGCATGATAGACTATGATCCCTATGACTGTGAGCCAAAGTAAACCCTTCTTTGTTTAATGTTTTGTTGCCTACTTTGTCATAACAGTGAAAAGGTAACTAATACAGTAGATAAAGTACCAAACACAGAGTCTGATGAACAATAAACATGGATTCCCTTTCAGTCAGGCAGCTGGGTGACAGTCACCACTTGTCACAACCTTATATATGGCTGCTCCAAATTCCACAAAGAACACCATGTTTTTTAAAAGTTCTTCCAAGACAAAATTTTTGAAGTAGTCATCTGGAATATACTACAGCCATTAAGCGCTTGTAAGCCCATGTTCAGAGACAGATAATAGAAATAGAAGCAGAGTCACCAAGGTAGTTTAGACTACCTATCTGATGACCTTGGGCCACTGAAGGTCATGAGGCAACAGGAAGTGGCATGTGCCTGTGTTAGCTCTAGGTAAGAGTCAAACCTTTTACCTAGAAAATGAAGAGGGGGCTATACAGCAATGACAAACAAAACTCTCCGTGGGAAATGGATACAGAAAAACAAACAAACAAAGCTGGCAAAGGGAATTCTGGGAAACACAATTACAGTATAGATGTGCCTGCCCTGGAGTTTCTTAAGGAGGATAGAGACTCCAGAACCTGAGAAGGACTGAGCCATAGACTCTGGCTCTCATCAGAGACTAAGACTCTAATGCCAGGCATTGGAAGCTGGCCTGGAGAGGCCCTAGAGAAGGGAAAATGCTGGTGTCTGCTCACCCAGGGCATCCCCCATGCTGACAATCGCTCGCTGGTACACCTCTGTATCTCCAGCCTGATTTGACAGGATCACAGCCAAGTGGGGCCGCCAGTCTCCCCACTGCTTGTCTCCACAACACTAAAAAAATAATAACAATTTGCAGAGTCATTTAGCACAGCTCAGGACGTAGGCAAAGAAGATTGCTGTTCATATTTTGGTATGGAGTTCAGAGCATGTCTGTTACATTGTCTGTGGTGCTATTACTCACTGATTAAGAGTTCACTCCATGAGAAACAGCAGGTGTGTGACACAGAACAAGTTGGTCACACATACCTACAACCCAACACTCAGGAGACTGAGAGGACATCATGATTTTGAGACCTGTCTGGACCACAGTGTGAGACCCTGTCTCCAAATAAAAATTTAAAAAGGAGAAATCATATATATATATACACATGCACTCCCACACTCACACACACAGACACATATACACAGACACACATAAACATACACACAGAGACACAGAGACACACACAAACACAGAGACATACACATTCACATGCAGAGACACGAACACACACAGACACAGGTACATATACATACCCATACACACAGAGATATACACATACACAGAAACACAGACACACATACCCATATAAACATGTATACATACAAAGACGGATACAAACACATATATGTATATGTACATATATGTGTGTATACACACACACACACACACACACATATATATATATATATATATATATATATATATATATCAGTTATAAGGCTATTGAATGATAAATAAAATGACCTATTATCTTATTACTTTTCAAGTTTTCCCCGTGCTTTCACTTCTAATATCTAGAGCCAAACTCCTCCACACACACCCAAGAAAAAAATCTCTCATAATTCAGTGAAAAAGGGAAAAGTGGAAGATTGAGCACCCTTGTCTCATGAGTAGAGAACACCATGCTAACCTGACACTTAAGTCTTGGACTCTGGGTTGCTCACTGTCTTATAAGTGGCTAGTATTGCCTAATCTTACAAGGCCCTTCCACACATGGCAACTTCCATGACACTGCTGTGAAATGTGCTTGCTATTTCCACTTAATGAGTGAGAAATTCAAGCAAGCTTCCAACATCCATTCATTTCCTCTCCACCTATCTCCTTGTGACAATGCAGTAGTGACAGACCCCACCACAGGGCAGGAAAAAGCCAGCAAACCCGTAGACTTGTCAAGTAGCCCTGTATACACTGTGCTTTCCTGTGCTCAGATTTCACAGTTGTCTTTGGTCCATTTGGAATTATTTTTTGTGTAAGGTGATAGACACTAGCCTAACTTCATTCTTCTGCATGTGGACAACCAGTTCCCCCAGCACCATTTGTTGAAGACACTTTCTTTCCTCCAGTTTATGTTTTTGGCATTTGTGCCTAATATTAAGTGACTATAGTTACAGGTACTCATGTTTGGGTCTTTGATTGCATTCCATTGGTCTTTATGTCTGTTTTTGTTGGCTTTCCAGGGTCTTTTGTGTTTTATGTGAATCTTAGGATAGTGTTTGTTACTTTTATAAACAATGAGATGGGGATTTTGATAAGGATTGAAATGACTATGTAAATAGCATTTAGTAAATTGGTCATTTTCACAGTATTGGTTCTAGTAAATCCATAAACATGGAATGTATTCCCATTTTTAATCTGTCTCTTTCTTCATAGATTTAAAGTTTTCATTCTACAAGTCCTTCACCGCCTTTATCAGATTTATTCTAAGATATTTTATTTTCTTTGAAGCTATCATAAATGGAAGCATATCCATGATCTCTTTCCCTTTATGCTTGGTGGTAGTATATAGAAAAGTTACTAATTTGTATAAGTTGATCCTGTATCCTGCCACATTGCTAAGCTTGTCATTTCTAAAAGCTTTCTGGTAGAATGTCATCTGCAAATATAGATTGCTGTCTCCATACAGATTGATGTTAGCTGTGAGTTTCTCATATGCATCTTTTATTACGTTGAGATATACTCTCTCTAGTCCTACTCTCTGGAACGTTTACCATGAAGGCATGATGAAATTTGTCAAAAGCTTTTTCTGCGTCTATTGAGATGACCCTGTGATTTTTGTCTGTAAGCCCATTTATGTGATGTATTACATTAATTGGCTTGCATACATTTAACCCTACCCCAGGCCACACTCTCCAGAGAAGAACTTCAGGGAGGAAAGAAACAACGAAGCAGCAACATAATGTGATGAATTCTACCCAGGCCCTGGGTTCCACCCAAGTCCTGACTCATACAAACAGTGTGAACTTCAACAAGTCTAATTTCACTGAACCTCTGTTTTCCTCATCTCTAGAATGGAGAACATCATTTCTATACATTCCCATGACACATGTTTCACTTTGTTTGCACTCTATAAATTCCATAACAGGCATGAGCACACATGTGTACATGTACACTTACAAACACACAGACACACACACACTCAACAAATCAACCCTGTTATATATAGAGAGAAGAGAATTGACAGTAATTGCTAACACTTGGAGTACAGAACTATTTGTAATTATTTAGTGTTCATAATCATTACAAGGAATATAGGATGTTTTATCCAACTCCATGTGATACTTGCTCCCTATCCATTTCAACAGCACAATGTATATCACAATGGTGGTAATAAGGAGTCATCATAATAATAGCAGTTTTAATTTACAGCAATGGCTTAGACCATAAACCACACCCTGGGCTAAACATTTCTCCTGCCAATAAGCACATACCCCCAGGACATTGCTACTCTCACTTAAACATATAAATCAAGCAGCTTCTTGCTGGATCTTTATGAACATGATAGAAGAGAAACTCTTTCTACAAAAAGAAAATAATCTTGAAAGCCATCCTCCTCCCTGGTTTGGAGCAACAGGGTAGTATAAATCTGAGAGAAGAGAGGAGAGAGAGAGAATTCATTAACTAATTTCCCTGATAGGATGTACATGCAAGGTGGCTGACAGGTTCAGACATTCTTGTCCCTTTAACTTTACAATAATTCTATTGGTTGGCCATCAAAATCTTCACAGAGAGAAAAACATTGGTATTAAAGTAGCAGTCAAGTTTGCCTAGCAGTAATGAGCAAAGTCAAGCTTATACCTGAAATGAAACCCACATCTTTGTGTTCAGTAGACATGCCTCTTCCATGACACCACCCATGTAGCAGAAAGGTAGCCTCATATGTGACGTGAGGGGCTAGGAAGCTCTCACACTCTAAGATAAGATGCTGCACATGGCCTATGGAGCCTCAGCTCCCTTATCTAAGAGCAGGGAAAATTAGCTAACTCTACTTCATCACTGAGACCCAATGGACCACAAGCTAATTATGTCACTTCCTCCATTAGGTGCTTCGTGATGTGATGCAATTTTATTGCAGTGCTGAAACTTCCATTCAGCTAAATTGTGAAGCACACCCTATATTCCAAAATAGCCCAGTGGTTTAATGATGGAGGACAGAAGGCATTGTTTCTCTTTGCTTTGCTTTTCTTAGAATTGTCCATAGCAAGAAGAATATCAAAAAAAAAAAAGAGAGAGAGAGAGAGAAGAAAAAGGAAGAAAGGAAGGAAGACAGGCAGGGAGGGAGGGAGGAAAGAAGGTGAAATTAATTTCCATTAAAACAAATTGCTAATAAAACTCAAGCTTCAGATATAAGATGTGGCCACCAAAGAAATAGAGGTTGAATGGTGATGCATTGAGCAGGAGCAGAGGTGATTAAATAATACTTCTATGCAGCAAGAACATAAAGCAAATGTAAAAGAGCTCAGGAAAGAGATGGTACCAAACAGGAAGTGCTCAGGTGGGGAATCAGAAAAATGTAAAGAAACAAAGATTAAAATGTCAGAACACAAGAGCAAGAGACGCCAAGAAAAACAATGAAGAACAGAGGCAAGGACAGAGGAGGAGGAAAGACAAGAGTAAGTAAAGGAAAGATGGAGGAAGGAAAGAAAAATATTTTTAATTTAAGGAAAAAAGTCCAATGTGATAGGACATGTTTGAAATCCTAACACTTGTGAGATGGCAACAGGAGATAGCTACACACTGAGTTTGAAGCCATCATGGGTTTCAAAAAGGAGATAAATATATTTCTTTAATTCACATGTTTACATATAGTTCATATTACATAAAATAGACATGGAATTCCTGGAAATGACACCAAAATAAATATTAAAAAAATATAGAAAAATATAACCCAAGAAAATGTTCCTGGATTCTAAGATACAAATGTGTAAATTCAAAGGGCAGCCTATGCAGTACTGACAGAAAAAAAAAAAAAAAAAGACCTAGACAGCTAATGCCAAGATATGTACTGGTAAAGGTATTGCATAAAAAAAGAATACATTGACTCAAAAAGATCAAATCCCCAAGAGTGGGGATGCTCTCCAGCATGTCTCCACCTTCTCCTCAGCCATATTCATTTCCTAAAGCACAAAGCCACACATGTCCAGCTCTGGGGGACTGATGTGCAGTGGGGAAACCTAAGGGCAGCCCTGCTGTGAGAAACAGTGGCCCTTGTACAATCAGGCACTGTGGGAGAGGTAAGGTCTTTGGAGCCAGACAAACCTGAGCCAGTCATGACCCCACCCCTCACTACCTCCATAACTGGACCATTTTACACCTTGGCACCTCTGTTTTTGTGATTGCAAAAGCAGAGATAATAACTCCTGTCTCCATGCATGAAATCAGCTACCATGTATCAAATCATATATAGGCCAAGCACACTGAGGATCACCAATACACTATCATTAGTGCCTCATCTTGAAAGGTATTGCCACATTCCCAAGTTGTCCCCAACAGCCCACTCCCAACCCTTAAGACTCTGGGGTATAGAAGGAAGCCTGTCACAGGGAGTACCGTGGCTGCTTGTGGAATCCTTCCCGACATGAGCTGGAAGAGGGTTTGCAGGGGGTCGTTGAGAGCCAGTGTACTGGTAAAGCTGTGAGAAGAAGGGAGAGTCAGTGGGAATTCAAGCCCAGAGGGAACCCATCACCAGCACACAGGCATGGGCACTCCACTTGACAGGAGCTTCTGCTTTGGAAGTAGCCCTCTCTCTGCTCTGCTGTCCCTTTGTGGCCTTTTAGGGATGATCAACTGCATCTTTACCATATCACAGTCCCAACAGTAGATTTTGTTGTTCAAGGACATTTTTTTTTCACCCTAGTACCCTAATTCTTGAATAGTCACTTCTTAATGCTCTATCAGTGAGTTGACCTCCCACATTTCCAGGTCCTCTGGGTAGCCCAGCAGTAAGCCTGGAAGCTCTTCTTCATGGGCCCCTCCTCCCCAGCCACCCTAGCTCAGTTCCTCCTCAGCAAACCACTAAGCATTTTTCCGGCTCATCTCAAGCCTGGGTCTATAGAGCTTTGACTCACAAGCACTAAATAGCCATTTTCAATAACCAAAGAGGCGTGGAAGAGGGACCAAAAATGATCCTGCTGATGACAAACTGTGGGATGTGCTTAACAAGGATATAATAAGCTCTACAGCTGATTTGAGAGTTAAGCATATTCAGTAAAAGATATTTTTCACAATTCACTGGGCCCCATCAAAAATCAATGGCCCAAGGCAAAACTCTATAGCAGAGATGTATGCTACAACATGGGGATGTGGGGTGTTCATTTCCAAATCCCAAAGGGAAATTGTCCCTCAGATCACCATCTTTTGCTTAATAGCTCCCTTGCCATGGGAGCTCAGCACATTCAACATTACAGACAGCAGTGTGCCCACCACTCCAGCCTGGGGCCATAATAGAAAGAAGGTGGCATTGCTTGTGCCTGGGAAGATGAAGTTGAAGTAATAAAGAGTCTCACTGAGACCATCTTGAAGAACAAACCACCAGACCAGACAGTATGGCAGCCAATAAGAGCACAGAACTTAAATCAGAGCGTATGCTCCCTCATCCAACTCTCTGCCCAAAAGAATTCATGGCCAATTCAACCTAAGTTAAGCTAAGAGGGTTGTCTCCACAGCCTCAGCCAGCCCTAGAAGGTTAAACATGCACTTGTGACATCTTTCTCACACACTGACCCAAATCTCCTACAGGAGGCCTCCCCCTTACTCCTGCCACCCACGATGTACACAGGGTGTGGAGGACTCAGTTGGAAACTCTTCTACAATATCCTCATAGTCCCAACACCTCCTCTTCACACTGATTGCCCACTACTATACTTCCCCTCAGTTACTCCAGGCTGTGAGCTTTGATCCTGTCCCTGCCTCAGTTGGCTTGGTCATTCTCCCTGGTCTATCAAGGTACTTGGTTCACTGTCAGCTGCGATTCTTTACTAAGTATGCCCCTTCTCTCGACATTCCCAGCCCAATTAAAGCCTGTTATACCATGGCTCATGGTTCTACCAGCTCATTTCCCTACCTGCCCCTCAGAAGCCACAGCCTCAGTACAAGGCCAAGCCCTGGACACTTTTTAAAATCCTCCAGGCTCCACCAGGCCCATTTAACTGATCCTCACCCTTCCTTCCTAATGGAATGGTCTAAACCAGCCCCTCCCAAAGAGGACAACTATGGTATAGAATATTCTGAATTCTCAGAACCTCTTGCCCAGGGAATTTTGTCAAAATGTTTCATTCTATTTAAATAGGTTTAAAGAATGCTTCTTGGCCAAAGTTATAAGAATCCAGGGCCAGTGAGATTGCTTAGCAGCTAAAGCCACTCACAGCCAAGTTTGATAATAGAAGTTTAGATGCCCTGGATCTACACGATGGAAGACGAGAACTGACTCCCACAAAATTGTTCTCTGACCTCCACACATACTCCATGGCTCATAAAGACATATAATAAATAAAATGTTTAAAAAATGAAGAATCTTGAGAAGTGAGCATGAAGGTAGCATGCTTATAATCCCGGTACTGGGAGGCTGAGGAAAGGAGAATGCGAACAAAGAAAAGAAGAGAGGGGAAAGGAGGGGAGGAAGGGAGGGGGAGAGGAGGGGAGGAGAGTAAAGGGAAGAGAGGAGGAGAATCAGGAAATAAAAATTGCTACTCCCTTCTCAGCAAGAGTACTTGGGCAGCTGTGTGTGGAACTTCTCAATGCATTTTCACTTCTTCCCTATACATACACATGAGCACATGCATGCACACATACACATCACCTCTGGAAGGAAGATTTATCTTCTCTTCTGGTCTTTGAAAGCTAGACTTACCCACTCATGACCCAATTATAAGTCCTTGGGTCCATCTTACTGGCTAGGAACAAAGCATGGCCCCATAAGTGGTTCTTCATAGCCCATTCCAAGGCTTCCTGAAAAGTGAAGCATAACACATAATTGTACCTTGCCCATCTTCCTCCAATAAAAACAACAAATTTCCATATATAGGCATTTTTTTTTTTACTCCAAGCAACACAACATCCCAGAGAAACCTAAAATATGAAGAAGGGGGATTGGAAGCATGTTACTAGTAGATTTTATCCCCTCTCCCCACCGGTCTGGTCCCACCACCACACCTGCCCCAAATAACACACCGAGACTAACTCTGTATTAGATATGCTGTTGGCCAATTACTAGTTTCTTATCGTCTAGCTCTGTCTTAATTATTAACCCATTTCTATTAATCTAAGTATTTCCACGTGGTCTAATCTTACCAGAGCGTAGGGCTGGCGTTCACTCTCTCCTGTCTCTACATGCTGACTCCTCCCTACTACTTCCTATTTCCTCCTTGTCTTCTAGTCCCTCCTGTCTTCCTTTCCTACTGGCCAACAGTTCTTTATTCATTAACCAATAAGAGAAACATATTTACAGAATGACATCTCCCATCAGGAGCAGGGGTTTCACTCAGCATAGTACTATTCTCTGAACTTGTCCACTCCTCCAACCATCATCCATTAGGACACTGCATTAGCTTCTCCTCAAAAATGATCACCGAGTAGCCTCATCTCTTTAGCATAAGCTGTAAAATACTTCTCAGAACCTAACTACCAAAAATGAGGCAAAGAGTTCACTCCAAAGACCGAGTCTCAAAAGATGAGTAGCAAAAATGTATTGCTGTGGCCCTATATAAAGAAGAGTACCCAACTTTTTAACAGCTGTGGCAGAGGTGACATCTTCCTTCCTAGGCACAAAGCTGGATATTTGCCACCTCACTGCCTTCTGAGTATTCCCATGGTATGGGAATAACGGTGCCATAAAATCATCCACACTTATACCTAATATGCCTCACCCCATCAGGTAGCTGCAATGAAAAGGACTCCTGGGGAATCTTGGAAATTGTAACTGACGGTGGTGATGGCCACAGCATCCTGAGTCTGATATCATGGAGGAAGTTTAACCTACTGGATTATTTGTGTACTCTAATGGAATGTGATAAACAGCTGCCATGCTTAAGTACACGGGAGCTAGCAAAGCTGTTTGTTAACTCTCAGATGCTATCTCAGGATGCATTGGTTGTGCCATTGAGTAAGATGAGCTAAAGTTACAAACTTTAAAATACACACACATATTTGCTTTTTTGAATCAGCTTATAGTTGAGGTTTTTGAACTGGTATTAATAACTTCCTTGGTAGCTGGGCAGTGGTGGCACACAACTTTAATCCCAGCAGTCAGGAAGCAGAGGCAGACAGATATCATTTGAGACTAGCCTGGCCTACAAAGTAAGTTCCAGGAAAGTTAGGGCTGTTACACAGAGAAAACATGCACAAAAAAAAAAAAAAAAAAAAAAACAAAAAAAAAAACCCACTTATTGGTAGGAAAATACACATGATTTCTTCTGGCAGGAAGTCAGTCACTAAAGCAGTAATTCTACCTCCATATAATATCATTATTATCCCAACATAGCTCCATGTAATCTTACTGGATAGAAGGGGCAAATTTAATAGTCACAATTAACAAATGGACCCTCAGGTCCAGGGCAAGTAAAGACAAAAATGGCATTAGGACAACTTACTTTTTATCATGCTTTAACTATTTCATAATTATTTTCATTTGTTTTTAAAAGAAATGACCAATGGATTGGTTGAGAATTATCAGTTGACTCAAAATTCTGCCCATCCCAAAAATATAATTTATGAATAATAACTTGAAAACTTTTATCAAAGTTGTCAAGATTATTAAATTCCAGAACTAATACCTGAGTCAAATATGAATAAAGATATCTTGATACCCACTCCTCATTCATCATCCCACAGCCCCCTCCCCCAACTGCTCCATCTAGTGCTCACCCACATCTATCACTCAGTGTGGTGAGGGACTCGGAAGCCCGTGTTCAGGCTCACGCACCCAGATCCAAGCCCTACATCTAAATCTCACTTCCCAACCTATAAATTTGTAAAACAAAAATAGAACCTAACACACAGGTTTCTATAGAGATAAATCAGATAATGCATAGAAGATATTGAGCTAGTACTCGACAGGTGAAAAATAATTTTTTAATCTCTGTGTTGTTATTATAAATACTGTTCATTTTTCTTGAAGGAAAAGTTCAAGACTGATTTATCTCTGTGTGCCTCACTGGGTGAGAAGTAGTGCTGCAGATAGGATAGGTTTTTCTTGGTTTGGTTTGGTTTGGTTTTTTGCTTTGTTTTAATGGAATAAATGGATCAGAGGGAAAACCACAATTCCCTGCTAGATAATGACTGTATAGAAAATGGCTGTAATTTGATACCACTTGTTTTTGAGTTATCAAGTTAAGTGCTTGCATAAAAGAAATCATTGTGTTTTTAAAACTCAAGAGATAAAATATTAAAATTTCAAAATAGGGGCTGGAGAGATGGCTCAGCAGTTAAGAGCTCTTGCTGCTCTTAAGGGGACCTGAGTTCAATTCCGAACACTCACATGGTGGCTCACAACCACCAGTAACTCCAGTTCCAGAGATCTGACACTCTCTTCTGGCCTTCTTAGGCACCAGGCCTAAGTGCCATGGCATACATACATACATGTGGGCACTCACACATACACATACATTAAAAAAAAATCTTTTAAAATGTCAAAGTCACGGAAGTAACTCAACTTCACCTTTATAAATTAATTCGAAAATGGGGAAAGCTAACTAAATATGATATAAACCCCAAAAAGGAAGATTTGTAGATTAGAACTGATCATCTTAAGGATTGAAAGAGCACAAGCAATTCAGCATGAGCTGATAAAAGACTTTACACAAAATGATGGGAAAGCACATATTGTCACAGGTGAAGAGCTAATAATAATAGAAGTTCAAATGTATGTACTGAATTGTATCGCCACCTCTCTGATCAGCACAGATCACAAGTGTGAAGGGGCTTCAATGAGGATGCACAGTAATGGTTTCACCCTTGCTCATGGGGCTAGTTGATACATCTAAAGAAGCAATTTTTCAATATCTATCAAAATTATAAACCACATACCCTTTTGTCCCAACACTTTTGCTGCAAGAACATTATATATATATATATATGGGCACAAAATGACAGTGATGTTCTGGCTTGGGTAAGAAGCATTCCCCACAAAAGACCTATGTGTTGAAGGATTGGTCCCCAGCTATTGGGAGGTAGATGGATCATGAGAACTCTAATTTCAGATTTACTTTATGACTTTTATAAAGCATGAGCACAACTTAAAATTAAATAAGGCAACCCTCTCCACCCATTGCATGAAAGCATTCAGAGTTGGTAGGAATGCCTGAGATCCAGTGGCAGGGATATTATTCATAAACAATCTCTCCATAAACTACGTTGTTGTATATCTATTAATTCCTAGTGAAATGTGCAATTGCATAATTTGCAATAACAAAATTGTGAATTATCTTAGTGCCCAAAAATAGTCCATTTAATTTCATTATTATTAAATTATGTGTATAGGAGGGGGTTCATTCCCATGACTTTGGGTGCCCACTTAGGGCAGAGGTGTTGGATCCCCATGGAACTGGAGTTATAGGTTATTGTGTGCTGCCCAACATGGGTGCTTGGAACTGAATTCCAGTCCTCTAAAAGAACAGTTAACATGAAGCATCTCTCCACCCCTAGAATGTTTGTTTGTTTGTTTGTTTGTTTGTTTGTAAAACAATTGTCAGGAAGGTACAAGGCACTGAGTTGAATTCTTAGCACAACAAAAATATTAAAATTGTACTATTCGAACATACTTAATGTTATTAGGGTATTTTACCATATGAATTAAATGTACAAAAAATAAACAATTATATATGCATTTACTTATTTTGAGACACGGTCTCCCTTTACACTTTAAGCTGGCCTCCTATTCATAGTCTTGGCTACCTCAGCCAAATATGTACACCTCCATGCCCAGCTCTCCTATATGACTTAAACCGACTTTTAATGGGGAAATGCTAGGAGTAACTATATAAAATGTGAACAGATACTGTCTTTTAACAGTAGGACAACATGAACACTGCAGATGTGAATGGCAAGCGCCTATGTATTTTTTTTCTCACTGTAACTTTCACATGAGCTCTAAAAGAAGTTATGTTCTAGCCGTATCATTAGAGGAGGGGGAGATGGGGCAATGGGTGGTGGTCTCTCATCCGAAGGAAATCTAAGAGGAAAGCTTTCTCACCTTCTTCCTTCCATAGTAGAGCAGCCTGGTAAATTTCTCCACGATCTGTGCTGGCGTCTCCACACTGGGGGGAATCTCCCCAGTGAGCAGATTGCGAGTCCCGGAGCTCGGCACCGGCCAGTCCTCGTCAGTCAGGTTGATGAGGTTAGCCACTGGAGGCTGCCTCTTGTACTTCTCCAACTTCCTGCAGTCCTGCATCAGCAGCTCAGCAATGTCAGACCCCACCATGGACTGAAAGGTAAAGAGAGTCATCCTGGGGGATGATCCTATTGGCCCCTAGGCTGGACCCCCAGGCTGAAGAAGGAAGCCAGCAAGCAGGGCCTCTGCCAGCTTCCTGAGGCAGTCATGCAAATGTACCATGAACTTTTTGTGAATGACTGAATTTCAAACATCAGCTTCATTAAGGCGGTTACTCTCTGCCTCTCGGCAGCCGCAAAGCTCCCTGGAACGATTCACAATTCCATAGGTGTATTATCTGACTGGTGCAACAATCCAGGGTTTGTACAAGAAACCCCAACCAGTGGGGAGGTGCTCTCCAGGAGAGGTCAGCATTGGCACGTTGGCGCTGGCATCCCATCAGCACTTCCCCTCTGGGCAACGGCCCCACTTAGAGACTGCCTTTTATAATTGTGCCACACACCAACTCCCATGAAGACTGAAACTTCAGTCAGGCCTCCCTCTGTCCCCTATATCACGCAAAGCAGTGACTCACCCCATTCTGTCGACAAAGGAGAACCAGCAGTTGCCAAAGTAGAGCTGAGTCCCTGCTCCCTGGTGTCTCAGATTTGAGACACTGAGCTGATTTCTGCTGGCAAAATGTCATGATATCCACCTTGTGTATGTCCTCCCTGTGGGGTGATTCGGGAAGCAAGACCTGAGCAGACCGATTGTCCCTGTTTAAGGCCCCAGGCTCCCTGTACAGTGAGCTAGTTTATGTGGCAGGAGCCTGATAATCCAGGCCTGGAAGTCTAGAACCACAACATTGTGTTTTCCCTACAGAACAGGAAGGACTTTCAGAGATTCTCTGTATGCATCCTTCTAACTGTCAGGACAATGAAACCCAGAGACCTTAAGTGACTTCTCAGAATGGATGTAAGGGTTCTGTTTAAAATTAGACAAGACTGGTTTATGTCCGTCCTACCCCCTCTCAGTTTATACAAATATCTCATCCCTCTGAACCTCAGTGTCTTCCCTTCTGACACCCTCCCAGGACTCACCACAACTAAAGGCCACTGAATAGCAGAAATGTGGCTGGAAATACTAAAGTAGTTCCAGTTCATTCCTGCAGAGGGCAGACGTTCACAATGTCAGAGAACTGGAAAGCTGGGTTACCGCTCAAGAAAGCAGTTTCAGGAATGTTTTCCCAAGCTAGGTTCCGTTTCCAAACTAATACCTATCAAGTACATAGGACATTAAAGCTTACTGGCAGGTTAGCTCTATGAAATGGAATTGTTTTTAAATGTCCAGCTTATTAAGCTAACTTTTCTTTATGCCCTTCAAATATGAAACGGCTTGTCAAAATTACTTGAGCAACCTCTTTTTCTCTCTACTGGCATAGAGAAATCTATTCCAAACAAGACAGTTTCTTCCACAGAACCCAAGATCTGGGCAGGAAGATGCCCCAGCTTTCAAACATCTTTATTTAAGAGTTGGGGAATATAGCTCCATGGGTAAGAGCAAATGCTATGAAAAAGCAAGAGGACATGAGTTCAAATCTGGAGCACCCACATAAAAGACAAATATGTGAATACATGTGCCTGTATCAACAGAGTTTGGGAGACAGGTATCTCCTGTGAGTTGACTGGCCAGACAGATTAGCCAAAATGTCAAGCTTCAGCTTCAGAGAGAGCCCCTCTCTCAAAACCTGAGAGAGAAGGAGGACAATGAGAGAGCAAAAGAGGAAAATAAGTAATGCCTTCTTCTGACTCCTGCATGTGTGTGCATGACTTTCACATGTGTTCATACACACACACACACACACACACACACACACACACACACTGACCCTTAATAGCGCTTGCAGTACTTTACCTTATGAGGGGACCTGGGAAACCTCTCATCTCCTCTTGATCCTCAGAATCATTAAGGATAACCTGGAGCAGAAAAGAAATTAGGTCCCCAAGACTCATCCACCCAATACCCAGTATCAGATCCAGGGCTGTGGTCCTGGGTGTGGCTCAGTTCCTTGAGGAGATAGTTATCCTGTTGAAAATGAGCCACTAGCATCTCAGGGAAAATGTAAGTCTAGTATATTTTCTAAGAAAAGCCCACCCATTCCTACCACAATCAAGAGCATGTGTAACTCAATTCCCCACCCTCACCCCCAGGAGATGCCCAGCCTCCAGGAAAGTAGAGACCTGGGGAGAGCAATTGGGTTGAGAAGAATATTTGCACCCCAAAAGGCCCAAGATCTTTATTACCTCCATGCTGTGTACTTCAACCAGGGCAGTTTGTCCATCAGCAGGAGAGTTGGGAGTTACACATACTAGCTGGCCTCCTGGCCCAAAACTCACAGACACATGGGGAACATAAAACTTTGTGGGTGCCTTGGGAACAGTTGTTGAAGTATCATCTGGCCAACAGACACAAGTGGACATTGTTAGGTTTACTTTCACTGCTCTTTGGTTAAGAAAAGACATCATGGATACAAAGTCCACCTGAGCCAAGATGAGATGCTGCATGGGATACTTGGAAAAGGTGATGCTCTACTCTGATTTAAACCTCTAAGAATACGTCAGGTGATAATGCAAGGATTTTTATCATTTGGTCCAAATGATAATACACTCATCTCAGATTCTCAAAGATGGCAGGCAGGGCAGCCTTCATTGCCTGGGTTCCTATCCATGTGGCAAACCTCCAGACTACTGTCTTCACTCAATCCTCTCTGGTTCCTCACCTGTTGCTTTATTAAAAGCACCCCAAAGTGCCTCCTGAACTAACATAATGATGCCTAGGAGCAGTATCCCTTCTAAGAGCCATCTATGGTGCAATTCCCATTACTAGAAAAATGAGGGAGAGGGATCCAAAGTTGACTCCTCCACCTAGAAGACATGTATAAACTAATAAGGTGAACAAAGACCCATTCCTGGAAGAACAGAAGGGTGACTTTCCCACATGACACAACCTTTCCTTCTTGGAATCAACCAGCTCCCATGGCCACTTGGTACCCACCAGCCTGAATAGGTCTCCATACTGATGATACCATAGGTGAATACTGCTCTGGGACATCTGCCATGTACTGACTGAGCTCATAGCTGCTAGAGCTGAGGCCAGACTCATGCTGTTGGAGAAGGTTGGACCTGCTGGTCAGTGATGGCTAGGGGGAAAAAAAGAAAGAAAAACAATGAAATTATCTAGGAAGGAATTCCAGAGAGCTTGTCCTTCCATGTCTCACATTTCTTCCTTCATAGAAATAAAACTCAAAGTTTTCACTAAACACAGTGGATGTGGATTCATTGAAAATGGATAGAATCATCCCATTGAGTATAGCCCAGTGGGGTCAAGTGACTTAGAACTCAATTCAGTTTCTGCTGCCATGACCTTAAACAGGTGAGTTGGGATTTCCAAGCTCAATATCTTCATCTGCAATATAAATTTGGGATATGTGTCCAATATACATTCCTTGGTAATACACCAGCTGTTTTGTGAACACATGTACACTCTGGATAACATACATTTCCTGCAAACAAATATACAGGAATTTACATTCCAGGAGAGAAGTATAAAACCGTGGATTCAAAGGTTCTTTGTAGACTATAAAGTGCTGTTCTCACATTGGGGTTTTAGAATCAGTCACCTATGCCCTATCCTAGTAAGTACTAGGTACAGAAAATAATTGTTTACAACAACAACAAAAAAAATCACACAGACCTAATCAGGGAGAAAAAAACTAACCAGAGACTGCCAAAAATTAAGAGCTCATTTGTACAATATTTTTGCAACTTGTCCATAAGTCTAAAATTATCTTACAATAAAATATTTATCTCAATACTACTTAGAGCTCTATTTTGTGACCTAGATGGCACATGAATTAGGACTTTAGAGAAAAGACATTGAAGAGTCAGGAAAGATTTCAAGGTTGCCTATTGAACCTAAATTAAAAGATTCTAACAATTTTTTTACTTCCTGAACCTCTAGAAGTCACAGACGTAGCCCCTTCTCTTTCCAAGCCCCTCATGGTGAATTAAGCCTGCCCACTTGACAAAACAGGAATAGGTCAGATCAGGGCCTTGGACTGGTAAGACTGAAGTGGGAAGGCAGGGGAAATGGTGTGAGTAGAGACTCTGCTGTCAGCTGCAGAACCCCCACCCCACCACTGCCTGCCACTAGCAACAGCTTAATGCATGGCCACAGGCCTCCAGCCCCCGTCACTTTAGGTTACCTTTTGTTTCTGGGCCTCACTCTCTGGAAAGAACTCCCCAGGCTGCTCCTGTCCAGAGGTAGAAGCAAGGCTGTCTTCATACGGATTCTTGCTGCTACTGCAAAATGACAGTAGTGTTGAGACGTCCTGGGTAAGCCATCAAGGCTGCAATACTCTTCGCTGGGGACTGGCCTGGTGCTAAGTGTGGGCAGGTGTCAGGCCAGTTTCAGTGCTATAGCAAGAAGCATTTCCTTCTTTCCCCTCCTCTATGTGTTAGAAAGATGGAGTGTTTGTGTTATTAGAAGTGGCCCAGACATTGCAGAGAATGGCTGGTCGCTACAGCCTGCTCTCCTGCAAGAGCTTAAGTCAGTCACTGATGAATTTCAAGGCTAAGGGCACCAGGACAAATGCTTCAGTTATGACTCCTCCCTGCTGGGTCTTATGCCAGGAAGGTGTTCCATGCTCAGGACCACGGAGAGGGAACAGAGAAGCACCCCAGCCCCATAAGGCCCCAGCCATAAAATTATTGCAAGACCACATTGTTTCTAAGGCCAATATAGGATCTGGCTTTTAGATGGGCCACAAGTAATTGTATAGCATAATTGTATAGGATGTAGACTAGTCCTGAATGGGCAGCAGCTCTCAGATAAAAGAAGAGGAGGAGAAGGAGAAGGAGGGAGCACTCTCTTCCCAGGAAGATGCTAACAGTTGGTCTGGGCCACCTTGGATTATCCTCATGTCCCTGTTGCTGGAACAAAAACAGACTGTGTTCCATAGGTCAGGTACCACTACCAGAAGCCCTAAGATTGTCCTAACAGAATCTAACTAAATATAGTCAGTGTGACTTGTCCTTTCACTTACTGGAATTGGGTCTCTCTATTTGTTCCAAATGGACTATTGTGCTTTTCACGATGATGCTCGTTGAAGTACTTTTGGTCTCCATAATCTTCATTCCAGATATAAGGACTCCCTTGCCTTGCCACTGCACCCTCAGAGAAAGCAAAATGAAGACAGGTCACTTGCTGCTCCCGAAAGGCCTTTTAGAAAGATACTAGGGAGCTGTGAAGCTGAGGTATTACAATACAGTAAATACAAAAACATATTTACCAAATTGAGTCAACTGATGAACTGACTCACCAATATGCTCCAAACCAGAGTGCATGGCTTTATGTATTTGCATACAATACAATGCCCTATTATGTGAGGGTATAGGGTATGGAACTCTCCTTAGTGTGGATCTGCTGTTCCCAGGATGAAGTGATTGTTGCACTCATATTATAGCTCAGCATACCAGATAAACTTAAGAGCTGACCTTACTGTTACTTAATCAGTAAATACAACCTTTGCTTCAAAATGGAATAAGAGAAAGCTGTGGATAAAGGTACACACTATCCACAGAACTCATAACATAAGGGTAGTCCCAGCATTATTAAAGGGCAAGGCCTCCAAACAGAGAACCAGTGCTCTCTGACCCTGGCAGTAGGCCACCCATGCATCTCTGGTCCCCAAAGGCTCGGAAGATTACCACATACCTCTTTCTTCTTGCATCATCTGTGGATGTCCTTTGTAGTAATAATTTCCATAAGCATACTCTTCCCTAGGTGTTGGAGTGTGGTACCTCTGATAGGGGTCCTCATAGCCAGGCCTGAGATATCCCAAAGACGGCCAGTCATCCATCAATGGTGGTAAAGGGAGGAACCAAAGGAAGACTGAATGAACCACACAACTTCAGAAGGCAAAACAACGGCCCAGTTCACAACCTGCCTGATTCACATTAGGTCAGAAAGTCCAGAAGCAGAACAGGGAGTGCCTTTGCTTCACAAGAAGACTGGAGCTTTTATAATAAAGCTCTCTTTGTGTGTGTGTGTGTGTGTGTGTGTGTGTGTGTGTGTGTGTGTGTGTGTGTGTGAAAAGGAAGAGCAGTGCACGTGAGAGGCTTCTGTGAGGCAGGAAGATCCTAAGTTTAAGAATAACCTGTTCTATGTAACAAATCCTACGAAATGGAGATGGGGACAGGGAGGAAGAAGGAAATGAACAAGAAACAAGAACAATTAATCATCTATTCATAGGTACTCAAGAGGGATAGGTCCTTTGCAGTTCTAGAAGTCATACCTTGAGTACATCTGATTAGTATAAGATCCATCCAAGTAATCTGCTCCAGACACAGGCTGAGACCATCCCCCAGGCCTGGGTACATAGTGGACCTGTTGGTGGTCAGCCCTGGGATCCTGTGCCCTGGGGTCTTGCACCCTGGGGTCCTGCTGTAGCTTTGGGATCCTTTGGGCATCCTGCCATTGGTACTTATCTCCACTGTACTGAGGGTGAGGACGGGGTCTATAATGTCCACTCTGAAGCCCTCGGTTTGCATCCTTTGATGGTGCCATGGGCCTCCCTTGTGGCTGAGAAGACCAGTGGGGAACCCAAGGTTCCATCTCTGACTCTTTGATTTTCTTCTTGGGTCTTGAGAATATTATGTCGTGATTTTAATTTCCTGTACACAAAAAGAAAACAAATCATCATTCTGGAGAGCTGGGACATACACAGCTCAGTCATGAAAACTTGATCCTGAGCAGTTACATAAAAGCCAGACAGATGTGATCATGCACACTTGTAAGACCAGTGCTGGACATGTAGAAACAGGAAGATCCCTGGGGCTCACCAGACAGCCAACTGAGCCCAGACACTGAATACTGGGTCCCAAGGAAAGGTCTTGTCTCAAGAAACAAGGTATATGGCTCCTGAGGAATGAGACTCAAGGTCAACCTCTGGCCTACACACACACACACACACACACTCACAGCCTTTTAAGCCTTTATCCAAAATGGTAGTTGATTAGATTTAGTGAAAAGAGCAACTTTAGTTCTCAAAATTGTCTAAAACAAACCATATGAGCAGCAACATAGAGGAATATGAAAAAAAAAGTCTCAAACAGATAGATTAAATAAATAGCAGGCTAAACAATTAGATTTATGCTGACTGAAAAATTAAGAAAGTACATATGGAACAACAGATGTAGGTGGCATGGGAGGCAGGATACCAGTACGCAATGCAGCTACAAATGCTATCAAGGAATTCCAATTCATGTGTCCTCATTTATCCCACCAGCAAATATTTACACAATGCTTAAAAGGGACACGCTGAGGTATCAGAAATAAAATAAGCCTTGTGGGGAGCTAGTCAGAGTTCAAACCTTTACTATATCTCTTACCAGCTGGATATGTTATTTTAAGCTTCAATTTCCTTACCCGTGGAGATGCTAGATAGTACAGGCTAGTGTTGCAGGGCTGGTGTCAAAGTTAAACATGACACATGGAACGTTCTTCCAACTGCCTAGTGCATAGTAATTGTTCAGTTCATCTTCAGAAAAAGGGTGGGGGTAGTGTGAGTGACTGAAGACTTTGTAAGTCTAGGGAGATGTGTCACTGTGTTAGTGGTTTGCTGCAAAAACATGAGAACCTGAGTTTGGACACACACACACACACACACACTACAAACATACACACACATCACACTCACACACACACACACACACACACACACATACACTCTCAGAGAGAGAGAGAGAAAGAGAGAGAGAGAGAGAGAGAAACTTGGTGCTCCTGTAAGACAGTTGGCTTCAGATTCAGTGAGAAACACTGTTTCAAAAAATAATATGGAGCTCAATAGAGAAAGACACTCAATATTGACCTCTGTCTGGTCTGCAAACACAAACACGTGCACACACAATGTCTATTCTATGTGCCCACACATGCACACACACACACACACACACACACACACACACACACACACACACGTTTAAACTGATCCCATGAAAAACTTACCTCTCCCCTGGGAGAACCAACAGACATAAGTTTGGGGCTGCTGATACTGGAAAATGGAGAGATGGGTCTTCCTTTTCTTTCTGACTGAAGAAATTTAGACCTAGAAGTTTCTCTCACACCAGACTAGTTTCCCCACTCATTCCTCATGATATTAGCTAGCTCCAGGGACTGGCGTCCTTTCCCAGTTCCTCTGCAAGCATAGCAGAGGGGTGTGTAACAGAGGGAAAGCCCAGCCAGGCCCTGCTCCTGTTCAGAGAACCTGCTGGGTCACCAGCATACACTGGCAGAGACAGCCCCTATCCCCTTCCCCTTGGGAATGTTGGTGGCAACATGATTCTGATGGAACCTGTTAGTTGCCCTTAGTCTGGAAGCTTCCACATTCATCTGGAAACTCTTATCAGAGGAAAAGGTCAAAGGGTCATGTGGTGAAACCAAGATGACCCCATTTGAATACCACAGGGCCAGGGTCCAGAGCAGTGAGCCAGGAGCAGTTAACTAGCAGGATATGCAGAAAGAGGAGGCCAGAGGATGCCTTCTGCTGCCAAGTCAGCCATAACACAGGACCCTAGGCCTTCCTCTCTTGCTTCCTCGAAAAACTCAGTTGTAATGAAACTTTTGCCAGTAAATTCCAGGAAAGGCCCAATACTCCTGGTACTATACAAGGATCCTTTGCTTAAAAAAAAAAAAAAAAAAAAAAAAAAAAAAAAAAAAAAAAAAAACATGAAACACAACACCACTTGGACACACGGAAGAAGACCATGAAAACTAATTGATTCATTTATTCCCAGATTTGTACTAAGCATCCTGGCCCCAAAGACACAATACCTGATCTTTTCTTTGATAGCATATAATTCTGTCACCAAGAATCACCAACTCCAGTAGGTTAGACCTCAGGTTATAATTAAGGGTACTCACTTTCAAACTTCTAAGAGTCTTAAAATGAAGGAAAGCAATCTATAATAACAATAACAGCTTTGTATCCACAGAAGTGGCCCCCTGGCTCAATAAATGTGCCCAGCAAGCACGACTCAAGGGAAAGGAGGGTGCCCCTGCCCCCACACACCTGCTCCGCCAGTGTTTCCTTCCTTCCAAGTGGCTCCAGGGATCTGCTGGGGAGTGCCTTCACCCTTCTTACAGACTGACAAAGTCCAAACGCCACATCTACCAAGACTCACCTGGCCTTCAAATCTACAGCCAATTAGTTACCTCTGCAACTGCCCGGCCTCCACGGAGCTGATTCATTGGGGCAAAGTACAATGTCGCTACTGCAGGCTGGGACAGTCCTGACTTGGCATGTTTGGTAGGGGCTGGTGCTTCTGTTTGCCTGGTCATGGACTGAGCCAGCGGCATGCCTATAAGAATACGTTCACCCCCCCCCCCACACACACACACACAAAATACGGAAGAGGGACACTAAGGGAGGGAAGCTCAGAATGGCCTGTGGGGCAGAGCACCACCTTTGGGGTGTGGACTTGTGGCTCTACCAGTGGCTCCCTCTGGGTCTCGGTTTCTTTTTCTAACACCCAGCTGACAAGGCTCACCAAGAGGAACGGATGTAGTAAAGTACATGGGCTACAAAGCAAGTACATATTACCAGTGAGCACGGTCTTCCCAGAGGCTAGGAGCTGATTGCTCGCACTGACACAGATGGGTTAAATGCCTGGATCCCATGGTCTGGGTTTCCCTCACACGTATTTCTCCCCATTGAGTTTTTGGTATGAAGTCAACTCTGTTTTCCAGCTGAAGGGAAGATTTAAGTCCCACCCAGCATTGAACTGAAAAGTTTTCTATCACAAGAAATGAATTTCTCACATTTGAAAAATGTATTTCCTCATGCTACTAAAATAAGCACAGAGTACATCATACCTTCTTTGAAATGTACATTTTAAATTGTAAATCTTGCTATAGATAGGCCCAATTTTTATTCTTTCAACACACTTGTTTGTTTTGTCACATTACATATTAAACTGAGCTCTCACACATGCTAAAAGAGAGTCCTACCACAGAGCTGTATCCTCAGCCCTGTTTTTGAGAAGGCAACTATGTTGCCCAGGCTGGCTTTGAACTCACTCAGGTAAATAAGGTAGACCCTGAAGATGCTATTCCCCACCTCACCTTCCTGAGGAGTTAGGATTAGAGCCTTCACTACCGGGCCCAAATCAAAAAACTCTTAACCATGTTCCTATTATTTGCCAGCGCATTCGCCACATATAAATGTAAAAAGATACTGTCTTTGCTTTCAAGCCATGTAGAACAAATTAGCTTTTCATGTAGTTCCTGGTCAGATAGGTAATATATCTAAGCAGTAAGACTCTCTTTCCACCGCTAACCTAAATCCTAGTACCTAATAAGAGAGCATAAAATCCTCAGAGTGCAGACAGTGCTTTCTTACCATGCTAGGCCAAGAGGTCTGGCTCACCAGTGACTGCATTGATGCTTTTGGTCCCTCTGGGAAGAAGCACTGAAGAAGGGCACACAGTGACAGTAGGACTCAGAACACTGTTAATTATCAAACAGGCACTATATCAGATTATGTTTTTATGCATCGCAGTAACAGTCATAAAACTCTGACACAATTCCTTTTGCTTGTGAGATGGCATTGGACTCACCCTCTAACAACAGCTACATTCCTGGGGTGCTGACACTAAAAAGAATCTCAGAGATCATTTGAGCAACTTCCCTTTTAAAAAGATGACAAAACTAAAGAAACTGCAGACTAGTGATTTACCCGAGATTTTACAAAGCTAAAAAGAAGACCGTTGAGAAGTGGTAGGTATGCTATAGCTAGCTGCCTTCCACAGGGCTTCCCAGAACTGATGAGGAAATACTCAAGAGTTCTGTGAACTGGTCTTTAAATCAGAGGTAATTGAGAATTCACTCTGCTAGGGCTGTTCACACCACAGAACCTGGTGATTGCTACACTAAAAGATGGTTTGTTTATTTATTTTTCAGGGAACCAGTTAACAGACACACTGAATTCAAGCCTGGACTCTTAGTTCTTAGTTCCCTGTTCCCTCAGTGATAGAGCTGTCATTCTGTTTCTAGCCTTAGTTGCACATTTCTAGTTTAAACATCTAGCTCGGTTACTCTAAATGCTCCTTTTGTGGTATCCCAGAGCTTCTCTAATTATCTTAAGAGTTATTATGAAACGCTTCAAATACTCACCAACCAAAATTAATTTTAATTAGCTTTAATTATTTTGTATAGACATGTGGTATACAACAGTTAAATGGGTCACAGAAGGAAATAGATTGTGGTGGGACCTCATCACTGCAAAGCATTTGGGATTTCTCAATTGCTGATTCCTCCAGCCCCAAATAGCTACAATTACCAAGTCTTTCTACCTGGCAGCTAAATTCTTCCTGATTTCCAGACAAAATTTATCCAGCTGGACAATGCTTTAATAGCTCAGTCTCTAGTAGGAGGTGATTTGAATTAGTCCTGGCACTCTAGACTCTGGTTGCAATGCCCCTGCATGAACCCGTAGATTCCCTCATGCCCAAACAGCTACTGTCGTCACACTACCCTTGCCCTGGTGTCCTGCCCTCACACCTGATTCTTGTTCTGTGCCCCAGATATTCACCAAGAAGAGTCTTAGGAGCTACTCTGTGTGAATTTAAGGAGTCCCTGGCCTCCTTTCCAAATGCCTGGCTACTGTCTAGGA